TTTTATATGATGACTAGAGTTGATTAATTCAACATGTTCAAGGAAAGTCAATTATTTAATTTATTTTTCATACAAAAATTTAATTATTCTAGATACCTTAATTTTTCTTCAATTATTTTTAATAGAAATTTTAATAGAGTGCTTGGGTCGACCGCGTGACGCAGTGGTTAGAGCGTTCGCTCTAGAGTCGCTCATTCATTCATTTATTCTCTCAAAAACCATATGAATGGTACAAGAGGTACATATATACATATTTACAATAATTATGGACGAGCAGAGATTACAGGAGGACAGACAGTGTCAAAAATTTTGATGATAAATATACACAATTTTCTTAAGAATGCTGGGCCAGTATTTGTCATTAAATTACAGAATTTTATAATATTTGGATGTACATAGTATTTCTTTAACAGAAAATCTTTTCGAATATTACAAAATACATTACATTCCAGTAAGTAATGAAATTCGTCTCCAATTTGATTATTATTACATAAATAGCACACTCTTTCATTTCTTTCAACATTATTCCATCTACCCACCTCTATGGGAAGACGATGGTTACTTGTTCTGAATTTTGAAAAGATATTTCTTAATTTTCTTGGTAAAATAGTTAAGTATTTTTCACATTCAAACTTTGTTTTAAAAATTCTATATGTAATACCTTTACTGGAATTATTCATATCACTATACCATTTTTGTAAAAATTGGTCTTTAAGCTTTTGGTTTATTGCAGTCGCAATCCATTTAACACTATGAAAATTTTGATCATTCCAAACATTACATAGTCCTGCAGTGTTAAGAATATTCTGTATGCAAGATATCCATGGATTATTGATTCCATTTTTGGTATATTTATTATAAAGGTGTAAATAAATAATTCTACAAATTTTATTCTCATTTCCATGTAACAGTTTCCCCCAGAAAGATATCATTCTTGTGTAAATGCGTACGTACATCGGGTAACGTCCAGTCTCCCCGTATACCATAAAACTCGGTGTACTAGATTTTAGGTTTAAAATATATTTCAAAAATCTTAAATGTAGACGTTCAATAATATCAATATTTTCAAATCCCCATATTTTGCACCCATATAACAAAACAGGAACAACAACTTTATCAAATAGATCTAGCTGACAATCAAAAGGTAGATTATATAAACGAATTTTTCTTATAATTCCGTACATTGCCTTTTGTGCTTGATTACATAAGTGTTTCTTAGCCTGTGAAAATGACCCTGATCTTGAGAATAAAATACCTAAGTAATTGAAATCTTTTACAGATTCTAGAACATCGTTGTTGTATTTAAATGTATGTTTGGGTGATGGTCCTTTTGAAAAAATGACAATTTTTGTTTTATTGACATTAACATGGAGTTTCCATGTTTTACAATATGCAGAAAATTCATTTAATGCATGTTGTAGATCATTTGCAGTTTCAGACAAAATAACAGTATCATCTGCATAAAATAATATAAACAGTTTGATAAAAACGGTAAGATCATCTTCAATCTCTTTAGACAAATTCTCTAAGCCATTAACATTCCTTTCTGTAAGATAATTTTCTAAGTCATTGATATACAGAGAAAATAAAAAAGGTGATAGATTTTCGCCTTGTCTGACTCCGACATTGCAGGTGAAATATTCAGAAGACACACCATCCACATTTATTCTTGATTTTATACCTGCATACATATTTCTAATGTAAGTAAAACATTTCCCACTAACACCATTTGAAAATAATTTATACCAAAGACCACCTCTCCAAACAGTATCAAAAGCCTGTTTAAAGTCGATGAACGCACAATATAACTTTTTTTTGCTATTTATAAGTGCTTGTGACAGAAAATGCAAAATCAATATATTATCTAATGTAGAGTACCCTTTTCTGAAACCTGTTTGACTTTCGTTAATCAGACTGACGTTTTCTGCATATATTTCTAATCGTTTTTTCAAAATACTAGTGAAAAGTTTCCCAAGGCATCTCAACAATGTGATCGGGCGATAGTTCTCGGGTTGTGTTGGGTCTCCTTTATTTTTATAAATAGGTTTTACAATGCCTATAAGCCATTCTTCCGGTACTATCCCAGAGTTAAACAGTTTCTCGTATAAAGACAGAAACAGTGAAATAGTGATACTAATACATGTATGTTCATTAAGAATATGGTCACTTCCGGGAGATTTGTTGTTTTTTAGGTCTTTTACGGCGGCCAAAATTTCATCTTGCGAAATTGGACAATCAAGTATTTCATTATATCTACTTTGTTCAGTGATGTTGATTTCAGAATCAGTTTCGTCTAAATCGGCTTCATTAATATTTTTGAAAAAAGTATACAGATTATTTAAATCAGCTGTACATTTGTTATTTTTATTTTGGCTATTTAATATTTTCCAGTATTCCTTTGTGTTGTTTGTTCGCAATCTTTTAATTTTCTGAGAGAGATCTTGTCTATAGTCGTTTATTGATAAATCCATTACATTTTTATATTCTTTGCTAGCTATTTTTAGATTTTCTCTAGAATCTTGGGTTTTAATTCTATTATGCATACGTTTAGCTAAGTGAAATTTTTTCCTCGCCGTTCTACAATAACGATTAAACCATGGTTTTTCGGATTTTTTCTTTGTGCTTTTTATTTCATGTTTAATCCCAAATGATTCTTTGGCTGCGCTTAAAAACACATTGCAGATTTTTGACATTACACTGTTCAAATGCTCTCTTTCCAGACCATTTTCTAAATTCATTAGATCCCCGATTTCTTCTTCAATTTTGGTGGTTGTAGATTTATACCGGTCTATACTAGCTCGAAAATCGTCTGCTTTGTTCGCACACCATAACTTCACACTTGATTGATCTTTACTTCCTACCTCTGTATGGTTACATGGAGCATTTTGAGATACCGTTACATTGAGTGACAGAGGATTGTGTGCGTCAGAATATAAGTTACAAAAATCTACAACATCAAATTTGTTTAAAAAATGAAATAACTGTACACTAGATATCACATAATCAATAGTACTTCTGTTCTTGCATGTAAGAGCACCTGTAGATTTATCACTTCCGTATCGACCGTTAAGAATAAAAAGATTGTTGTTGACACAAAAATCTACTAATTTGTAACCAAAATTATTGCTTGTTACATCTTTGACTGTTCTGACCAGTGGAATACCAAAACTTTCTAATAAATTAACATCTGTATTTACACTTTGAGTAACATTATTACAGTTTTGGACATTTGCTAAAAAGTCATCAGTTATAACATAGTCTTGTAGTTTTCCAACCCTGGCATTAAAATCTCCTAATAAACAAACATAATCGCTATTTTTAGTTATTTCATGCAATTCTTGTTCAACTTCCAAAAAACAATCAGGAGACGAATATTTGCTGTTTTCGGGTGGTATATACACAATTCCAAAGTAAACATCTTCATTGGAATTAATTAACAACTTACTCATTTTAAACCAAAGAACGTATTTACAATCTGTTTCTTTAACATTTATGTATTTTACATATGTGTCCTTAACTAAAAGCCCAATCCCACCTGATCGTGTTTTAGACAGATTAGTTCTGTTTTTAAGGAAAGTAGTGTATCCAGGAACGTTTATTTTATCTGAGTCATCCGTCTTAGTTTCCACAAAACACAAAACATCGAATTCTGCTATAAAGTCAGTAAATTCCTTGTACTGGAGTCTTTTGTTTATTCCGCAGACATTTAAAGCGAGAAATTTAATTTCGTCACGCTTCTGTTCTGCGGTTTCCTATTTTGTTGGCGTTGACCCTCTTGTTTGTTGGAGTTGATCCTTACGTCGCCGGTTCGAATCCCACTGCGGGGCGTGGAGACCGGTCCTTCGGATGAGACCGTAGAAACCTAGGTCCCGTGTCGCAGTAGGTGCTGGCACGAAAAAGATCCCTCACTGCTCAATGGCCTTGAGTGCCGAGTATAGGTCAAAAATTGTAGCCCTCCAACGGCAAGTGGTGGCGTCTCCATATGAGTGAAAAATTCTCGAGAGGAACGTTAAACAACATTCAAACAAACAAACAAAATAGAGTGCTTGGGAATTTTTAAACGTTGCTTCACGATAAACTTACGTAAGATTATTAGAGTTATCTTTCTTTGCCCTTAGTGTTTACAAGCTAAATCTGTTAAACACAGTAATGTTTGTTGTTAGGTTTAACAAGTCAAAGTTATAAATAACCACGGCTTGTGTCCTTCATTAGTAAAGTATTTTAGGAGTTTAACAAGCTAACCTGTTAAATACAGTAAAGCTTGGTGCTAAGTTTTCCAAGTCAAAGTTATAAATAACTACGACTTGATGTTGTTGATATTGAATATAACTGGGAATAGATACGTTAGATTTTTGGGGTTGTTTTCAGTCTGTTTTACGATATGATTTTAATTATATATTTCAATTAAACTTATTAATTATTATTAGTTTGGTATGAATTGGTGTGAATGTCGTCGTTTAAATAAATTGTTTGTTAATAATACACTTAATAAATTTATTTGTTTAATGTTTATAATCTTATGTCTTCTATGCGAATGGTACATTTATAGAAGGTGAGTGAATTATTTATACTATGAAAACAATTTCTAGTAGAACTGCTAGTGTTACACATCTGTTTATTGAAAAAATCGATACCTTTTTCTTTCAGAAAACATTGTGATCCTTCCATGACATTGTGTCCATTGTTTTTGATCAGGGTGTCGCTCTCAGTTAACTGCCTACTAACATTCATCTATAAAGCGTTTGTAATGCTCTCTCACAGGCGGTGTCAGGTTATCAGTGCACACAACTATGCAAAAACGTAAAATGATTTTTTCTCGATTCACAATTCACGGGGTGTGGAGGAAGCTTAAGTTTTTGTAAAAGTGTTATTTTTTAAAAATTATTTCTATGCATCAATGCGCAAGAAAAGGTTTGGTGTGGTAAATATTTACATTTCTGTCATTATTTACCTGTATACCCGTTGAGATTTTAATGCAGAAAGGCAACTGATACAGACAGAAAACATTCATTCGGACCTGTACATTGATCTCATGATCTGAAAATCTGTAAGTAATACTGTTTCAACATTTCATTGATCAATTAAACAGTTATATTTAGAATTATTGCCATATAACAACTTGGTAAGCTCATGATCAGTCGCAGTTAAATGCATTACTGAAAATTGATATTGCATTACCGAAAATTTTTGTTATCATTACGGAATTTAATCAGTTAACTTTCGAAACGATGTATAATATTCGCGATCAATTAAGAGGTGAAAGAGGGTTTTGAGCAGGATGCTTTTATATTATTTCATTAATTATAGTATTCAGCACTATTTCAAAGGCAACATGTTTACAGTTGATTTAAATATGGTTTCAAAGGTGTGTTTCTTCAGCATAATAATTTGCGTATCAGTTACTACAGAATACTTAAAGGCTGGTCCAGACTCCATGCATGTCACGACTCCAGTTACATAGTCACTGTATGTCTGGATGCAGTTGTGATCATTTCCTGCCTTACCGGATATTAAAAAGCAGTAACAATGAAGACTTCGTCGAATAGATGATTCATGGAGAGAGAGAGGAAAGGGTTAGTGTATTTTTAAAATTTTGATTCCACGAAATATTAGTAATATTAATATATCTAAGGAAGATATTGATTATCGTCCTGCATTTATTTTTTAAGCTCATAAAACGTTTATTATAAAAAATTGATCAAACATGCCGTTGCGCAGACGAAGACCATTTAAATGTATTTGTGCATAGGATAGGTGATATAAGGATATAATTTTTTTAAAATTCTTTTTTCATTTCTTTTTCTTTACTTCTATCAATATAACTTACATTTCAGGTTCTTCTGACTCAATGAGGACGTTCCTAAACTAAACTATTGTTATGTACTTCCTTTTTTGTTGTCTGACAAATCCCCCAAAAATTTTAAATGAAACGCACTATTAATTTATTTTTCTTTATCAAAATAATTTTAAACGAAGAATATTTTTAAACGTAATATTAGCTACTAAAATGTAATATTATACATTTACAGTAATACAAAAAGTGCTTGATTCCCAGGCATATAGTACTGTTTTTCTTTCTTTTTAAACTTCAAATAAATTACTTGTATTGACTTTAGAACAGAATGCTCGGGAAAACTAAACTAAGAGGCCCAAGGGCCTTAACAGTCACCTGAGTATATTACAGCAATCTAGAGGATCAATAGAGTATAATAGACTCTGAGTATAAAATAAAATGATTAAGGAAGATTTGTTGCCCAAGAGTAAGGGAAATGGGATGATCAGGACCATCGAAATAATTAGTATAGTATTCAGTAACAACCCTTTAATTAAGTTCTAATTTGTTCTCCATTTATCACTATCATCATGCAGACTACAAAGTATTCACAAACTATCAGTGCTTCTGTATTATTTTTAACCCCATATCATACCCTCTCACACTGGCCTCTCTTGGTCTTTGAAGAACAATTGATTTTTTTTTGTTTGTATGTTGTTTAACGTCCCTCTCGAGAATTTTTCACTTATATGGAGACACCACCACTTGCCGGTGGACAGCCGCAAATTTTGTCCTATACTCGGCACTTACGGCCATTGAGCAGTGAGGGATCTTTTTCGTGCCAGCACCTACTGCGACACGGGACCTCGGTTTATACGGTCTCATCCGAAGGACCGGTCTCCACGTCCCACAGTGGGATTCGAACCCGCGACGTAAGGATCAACTCCTTCGCGACTCTAGAGCAGACGCTCTAACCACTGCGCCACGCGGGCGACAAGAACAATTAATAAGGCGTTACTATTATCTCATATTTATTTATCTATTATTTACAATTCTGTTACGTTATACCACTTCGAGGATCATATGAGATGCGTGTTGCGCATGTCCAAATCAGTACTTAAAAGCCAATCAGCGTTTAAGCATCCAATCAAAGTAACATAGTAACATAAGTGTAAAGTCACCACCAATGAAAAAGAATCAGGGAGGGGAAAACAATCCTCCGGCACAAATTATGGGCATCTGATCCCTTCAGTGGTTATATGACTCACGGAATTCCTACCAAACTCGCCTTTAACCAAAGAAAGACTCGTTTAGTTGGGGGGGGGGGGGGTTCTGTTACGTCATACCACTTCTGGGATCATATGAGACTTCAAAGAGATGCTTGAACACTGACTAAAATGAAATATAAAAAAAAATCACTAGTATAACAAGTATACTGTAACGTCCATCATTTATTTTATATTCAGAAAATCTCAAGAAATCATCGCCGACTGTTCACCAAATTTACTCTTTTCCATCATCAATTGATTCAATTCATATGTATTTGTACAACACTGTATCTGATACCGATTATCACCAATGTCAGAACATAGAAAATGCATCAATAATTCAATACAGCTTATTGATATAATTCTGCATCTTTCTAAATAGGTTTTTAAAAAACCTTAGCAAGTCAGCGCATTTGATATACCTGCAACCTTAAAATTATTATTAACTGGTAATAATTTTAAGGTTGCAGGTTCTGGTATACAACTTTCAGATGCTCTCGAAACTAAGGCTGATCTTACACTGTGTGATGCAAATTAGCAGTATCAATTCCTAATTTTAACATCACTATTTTAATCCACCTACTTATAATGTTTCTAGTTAATGCTTTGTGGGGTTTTACATAGCTTATAAAAAACTGTACACAAGCCTCTTAATTTTTTGTGCGTTATAAATATTCTTTCAACACCAAAAACAACACATAACCTTCTATCAGATGGATAAGCAAACAGTTTTAACTATCCACACAAATAAACTAGCCAGCTTTGTTTTAATAGATTTCAAAAACAAAGTATATGATTTAATGCCATTGCCTATATCCATTATAGTTACTCTGATGCAAAGACTGTGCTCTAGTAGCATTTGTTAAAGCAATTAGCATAGCTAACTTCAAAGTAAGGTCTTTAAGTGAAATAAATTTCACAGGAAACCATTTTCGCAAAAAGTTAAGCACTTGAGATACATCCCAAGTTTCACAGTATCTTGGTTTTCCTGGTCTTAAGTTAAGTACTCCTTTTAAAAGTCGAACAACTAGAGGATTCGATCCAATAGGCACTCAATAAAGCCGAATCCCATATGATGATAATGTAGATCTTGCACTGTTAAGTCCTGCATACCAGATCTGTGTTGGCCATAAAGGAACACTTATTAGACAGTCTGCATAATCCTCTCTAATGTTCTGAACACACCTACTGATCAAAGAAAATAGTGGAAATAAATAACTATATTTATTTGATCATAGCATACTAAATGCATCCGTACAAACAGCATCTGGATCAGATTTCCACGATGCATTCATGTCTAACTACTTATTTAAACAAGAAGCGAAAAGATCTATCTTTAGTTCTCCAAATTTTTGTACTACCAGGTAACGTATCAAAATTTTTCTAATCTAACATCCATTCAATATTTTCATTGAACCTTCTTGATTCAATACATGCTTTATTATCCTTCCCAGGTACATGTACTGCCGAAATATCTCTATCACAATAAAACTGCTGTATTTGTTTATTCAAATCATTCAATTCTTCTGATTTTATTCCTCTTATATTGTTTAAATATGCTGTGTATTATCTGAGCAAATTTTTAAATGGATATTTTTTCAAATATTTGCAAAAAGACTTTATTGCTAAATAAATTGCCATTAATTCTAAATACTAGTAATTTGATGCAATTTTTCTTCATTTGTCCATCTACCGCCAATATTTACATCATTTTAGACTGCTCCACAACCTTCGGTAGATGCATCTGTTGTAATAGATATATAAGGATTACCCCTATTGATGATTCTCTTTTGTGACATAATGTTCAAAATCCACCAAAGTAACTCTTTTCTGATTTACTTAATATTCACTTTCATTTGACCGTAAAAATTTCCTTTATCCATGTTCAAAGCCCTAATCCCCCCCCCCCCTTTTTAAAACTTTGTAATCTAACGGTACCAAATCAACTGCACTAAATGATGTCACAAGTGACATAATTAGACTTGCTAAATATCTAACAGATATGATTTCTCGCTCCATAATTTTTTGACAATTCTCTTTTATTATTTTTTTTTCTATAATGGTAAAGTCACTCTTTCATCAGTAGTATCAATAATATTTCCAAGAAACAAAATGACATGACTAGGTTCATTCACTGATTTTTAGCTCACCTGAGCTGTAAACTCAAGTGAGCTTTTCTGATCACATTTTTTCTGTCGTCCGTCTTTCTGTCTGTCTGTCTGTCTGTCCGTCTCTAAACTTTTCACATTTTCGCCTTCTTTTCAAGAACCACTGGGTCAATGTTGACTAAACATGCCACAAAGTTTGCTTGGGTGAAGGGGATTCAAGTTTGTTCAAATGAAGGCCACGATCTCTTTCAAGGGGAGATAATTAAGAAATAATGAAAATTTTGTGTCAACTTTCCAAATAAAAAGAACCATTAGGCTAGAAAAGTAATAACTTATGCGAATCTTTTATTACAAAGTGTAGATTTAAATTTGTTCAAATCATGACCCCAGGGGGGAGGGTGGGGCCACAATAGGGGATCAAAATTTGACATAGTGATAAATAGAATTTTTTTAAAAAAAATCTTCTTCTCAAGAAAAGCAAAAGCATGATGAGCCATTAAAATAGGGAAGCATCCTCAGGTAGTGTAGATTCAAGTTTGATCAAATCATGGCCCCTGGGGGTAGGGTGGGTCCACAATGGGGGATCAAAGTCTCATGTTGGAATATAGAAGAAAAAACTTTTTAAAAAATCTTCTCAAGAACAGCAAAGCCATGATTAGTCATTTTGATAAGAAAGCATCCTTAGGTCGTGTAGATTCAAGTTTGTTTAAAGCATGACCCCTGGGGATGGGGTGGAGTCATATTGGGGGATCAAAGTTTTACATAGGAATATATAGGAAAAGACTTTAAAAGTCTTCTTCTCAAGAACAGCAAAGCCATGATTAGTCATTTTGATAAGAAAGCATCCTTAGGTCGTGTAGATTCAAGTTTGTTTAAAGCATGACCCCTGGGGATGGGG